ATTTTTTTATACAATATAAGCCATGCGTCTCTGCTATGGTCGTAAAAAACATCTCAAAATATAAGACCCAGTCCTAAAAATTATAATATACTATTATGCTGGATAAAAGCCACCGCGAGGTGCACAGTAGTCGTGTAGGTGGATGAAAAGATTTCTTTTAGTGTGTGTGTGTGTGTGTGTGTGTGTGTGTGTGTGTGTGTGTGTGTGTGTGTGTGTGTGTGTGTGTGTGTGTGTGTGTGTGTGTGTTTGTATGTGTATAAAATATTATATTATGTTTTAACCACATATTATATGCGATCGAACGGGCATTTTAGTTTCGGCGGCAGTGGCGGTGAGGTGATTTACGGTCACGTGTTGCGCGTAAAAAGGCCGGCGACTACCCTTTTTCTGCGGTGGTAATCTACACAAACTCGCCCAATATAATACAATATAACCGCCGTCGTCCCCATATATATATGTGAACATATATAGGCTAACACGCATAAAATATAGGTATACACAAAATATATATTACCGTACATGCAGAACGCGTATAATTCACCAAAATATAATATTAAATATACGCCAACGCGGGGTAGAATAGGTGTGGGGTTGCATGTATGCAGCAAACATTTGACGGTAAAATGTTTATATTAATATTATACGGAACGACAATGGTGTTCAAAGACCTTTTGCCTGGTTGCTCGGGACGAATCGGTCTCGTGTAAATCCACCAAAATATGCATGAATGGTACAAAAACGGTTTCGAGGCATAAAGACTTCGAGTTAATTTAATAATAATAATAATTTAGAGTTATTATAAGCCGTGCATGTAGTCGTTTTCGTTGCACGTACCAAAACACAGCGCTTAACGTAGTTGTATTAGGTACTTATTAATTATTGTTCTCTGGTAATCCTTAGAGTCCGGTTGAAAATAATATGTAGGTACATACATATATACGTATACTCAGGAGTGCAGGACCCGCGTAATAATTCGATTCCGTTTTCCCGGAAAATGTCAAACATTGCAAAGTTTAACCCCTGTCCTTGACAATTGAATTTAACATAATTAATTTTACAATCTAGGTGGTAATTATAACACCATTATATCATATTATTAAATTAATATAAGTGCACTCTCATGGCTATCTGTATTAAATATTAATATTATTGTTATATTATGAGTTTTTCTCATTGAGGCCCAGCTAGTACTTCTTTGCAAGGAAATAAAATGAAATTAATAAATATAAAAATATTGTATTATAATACTATAAATTGTATTATGCATCATGTTCAGTGTAAGGGCAAAATAAATTGTTGATTATATTCACTCGACGAAATCAAAATATAATCTTGCCATACGCTTATGTATGTTATAAAAACAGCAATTTGTGGTCTAAAAATATTATGATAACATTAAACTAATAATTATTCTTAATAATATGATCATTACAAAATGCTGTCTGGATATATTATATAGGTACCTAATATTAGTACAGCGACTAACGAGGTCGTTATATTTATTGTACAATAATAATTACATACACTGATTTGAGCTTATCCGTATTATTCATACTGTAAGTACATATTAATGTATTATATCACAGTCCACAGATGTATGCACTTGTGCATCGCACTATTAACTTGACGTATTGAATTCATATAACGTGCAATGTAGACATGTATTCTCGATACATTGTTGTTTTCCGCAACGACCTACGATGAAGCGGCTTAGCTGTCAAATCGTAAATGAAATAGTCACACGCTGAGGACGATAAAGTTTAGTATTGAAAATAAAGCCATTGTATGTATAGTGTATATTGTATAATATGTGTGTTTACGCGTTCGAAACTTGGTGGTTATATCCGCGTCCCAAATCACTTAGCTTTCAATGTCTTTATACTTATATCAGATAATATATGTATAGTGTGTACAACCTTTCTTCGTGGAGGTTAGAGTTTTACGCTCGAGTTATTTATTGCTCACCGATAACACGTAGTATTAACACTGAAGAGATACACGATCGAGTCGAGTAAATAATATTATATTGATATGGAAAATAATGATTTTTATTAAGAAAAAAAATATTAATACTGCGATTAAGTAGTAGATAACAAATGGTACGAATATACGAGAAAAATTACATTTTTTATTTTCACATGCAAGAAAACCAGCATTGAAGATAAATAACTTAGTGATAAATATATTTTAAGTAGCTATAAGTACCACGATATAGGGGAATTTAGGAGAAGTTAATATTTGTTAATGAATAATCAGATGACTGTAAGTCTGACAGGGTTATCGATATTCATAATATGTTAGTATTATAACATATATATTTACGAGTAGTTATATACTGCGTGAAGCAAGCAAAATCATTGATGCACGATACACAATATGCAGTTAAATTGCCTACACGGAGTGCCGTGTGAAAATAATAATAATTTTATTGCAATATTGTACTTTATCTTAGTACAATAATGATAAACGACAAAACACTGGTTTTGTTATTCCTATGGGTGATTATAATTACTGTATAATATTTTGTAGTCTAGACTTATACGAATATTATCATTTATTGGTTACTGTTACCTGTTTAGAGTTTAAAATCTGCAAATGTCTTTGTGTGAATGAATGAATGATACATATTATTGTATTCCGTCTAGAATAAAAAACATTAACAACTATATAAATATATAGTAATAACTAATACACAATTTGTAACGAACCGTAATATTATATTTTAACACTATTAAAATGATTCTGCTTATAAGAAGATAATAAATACCTATTATTAATCACATAATAGTTACAGACATTAAACGTGTCATTTTAGGTAATACCAATAATTGACATAATTATTGCCTATATATATAATTATATAAATATGTACATACAAGATTAATTTTTAAACATGCCCATTGCATATCCCCACGTTTCTATTAAATAATACTTTTATTCAAATTATGATTTTTAAAATTTTTAAGTGTATCTAATTACCATATTTACAAATTCTTGATATTTTTTGTACTACTTATGGAGTATCCTGTGGCAACACAAACTTCTATTTTTCAAATGAGGACCCCCTCCCCCTCCTTTTTATAGTAAATTGTTTAATGGGCGATTTTCTTGAAAATGATGATGTATTGATGTATCTAAATCAATATTATATTAATTAGTTTCTAAGTTATTAAAATGTTTATACTAAGGATAATAATTCTTAAATATGTGAAAGCCCTACGGAATATTAGATTTAATATTCGTTGTAGGTAGGTATTTAGATCATTTTTACAAATTATTTATATTGATAGATCAATAGTTATTACTAACATTTTCAAATCATCTACACAAACATAATATCTACTTAACTCATTACCATAGACAAATTATTATCCTTATTACATAAAGTTATATAACTCGAAAATTACTAGTTCGAACTTTGATTTAGATACATCAAAATCCTAAAAAAAATTTCTGATAAATAATTAAAAGTAAAAAGTTAAAAAGGGGTTTCCTATTTGAAAAACAGAATTTCTTAAGTCCTTAAGCTGTACAAAAAATCTGAAGTATTCGAAAATATGGTCTTCAAATGTATTTGAAAGTTCTAAAAATCAAAATTTGAATTTATGTACAATTTAAGCATAAATCAGAGTGATCATTCTTAAAAAAACACACTTATATATTATAAATCAATCGAAAAGAAAAATTTAACAAATTAAAATATTTTTAGACCATTTACATTATAAAGGAATTGTGCAAAATTTTATATTGTAATACAATAATATAGTAAAGCGATTAAGCGAATAACTTTTTTTTATTTCATCGTAATATATCACCATTAAAGTTTAAAAGCTGGATACCGCTGCTACTTGCTTATATAAAATTTAAATTATTTTTTCTAGCATAATATAAAATTAGGTATGTAACAAAAACGTTTAATCGTACTGCAGGTATAGAATATACCATGAATGTTATTTAGTTCTTATAATAGATAATAATCGAATTGTCGACGCATGTTCAATATGTGTGACGTATATTATTATATGAAAATATATAACGTTCGAGGGAAAGACTGAAAGAGTAATATTAAATTTGGTTCGTGCTCTTAGTTATTTTATTAAAAATATTTTAACGAAACTCGTATTTGATAAATTACGTTTATGCGACACATTATTATTATTAAATTACAAGAGTAAAGTTGGTCGATATTTCATTCGGACCAAATATTAAAATAGTATAATTTGCACATTTCAATATTTAAAGACTGGGGAAGGGAGGTGGCGAATAATAATGACGATAATATTATAAAAATCATGTAAATTTATGAGGTACCTACCTACTTTTTTGAAAGATTTTTATTTTTAAATGCATTCCCATTATTTATGCAGTGACGACCACCGCGAGCCTTATTGTGCGTGGAATTTTATTTGTCGTAAAAACAATGGCAATGATACGACAATTTTTTTTTATCGTATGTGTGTGTATGGGTTTTCTAACAACCCTTTTAGTACCTAAGCAGATAATTTGGCAAAAATAATGAATGGTGATAAATTATGATAACATTATATTATCAACTAATCGTTGTTTATAATAATATATTGTACCTACTATACATATATGCCGTTAACAAGGTAGATGGAATTGATGCAAATAATATAACGTCCGTATAATATACTAAAAGTATAAATTACTTGATTTTATGCTCTGCAATCACGGCCGTGATCGCTTTTTCCCGATTTCGATTTCGACCAAGAATATTGTATGCATTATGTGATGTAAATTCAAAAAGTGACCGAAGTCAAAGTAATACTCTAAAGTATTTATGAATTATATTAAATATATACCATGTTATCTTATATTTGTATAATGTTAGTGGTGACTGGTGTTGTTCCCGGCCCTGTTTCCATTTTTCGGAATAATAAGACTTATTATTTGTATATTATATTTTATTTCTCGATTTGTAATATTGTTTTTTTCATTTTTGTTTTTTTACACAGACCGTCTCCGTCACCGTGTCAGTAATGACGCTGACGGCGATTTCCATCGACCGTTGGTACGCCATCTGTCATCCTCTAAAGTTCAAATCTACCACCAGCCGTGCCAGAACGGCCATTATTATCATATGGATCTTGGGACTCGCCTCAGGTAATAAAATAATAAACTCTATTCGATATAAAAAGGAAGACGACGGTAGCAGGTTTTATCGGGGTGACCCGTCGTACAATATGTCAGTGGTGTATATAAACGAGATGATTTTTTTATAACGTCATGACATTCTGATTTTGTCAGTTGATTTGAAAAAATGTATATTCTTATATTATTAAAAAACCATGGTAAACTATAGTTCTACAATATTATATTAAAATTATATTATGAGGTATGACACGTAATTTTTGTAAAAGCAATCTAATTTTCTTTTCTTTTTTAGTCCACGTTTAATATCACCATAATAATTTTGAATTTGGATGAAGTGAGGAAGGGTGCTCAAAAGTTTCAATATATAATAACGATCGGAAATTGAGTCTAGAAAACGTATATCTAATAATATTTAGGTATCTTTAGTTTTCTTAAGCGGAAGGAAAAAGTGCTGGCAACAGACAGACATATTGTATAAAAAAAATTACGGCAATTATTGCAGTTATAAGTATTGACCAAAATCTTAGCACAGAATTGAAATTTCCATAACGATAATTTGTTTTTTCTTTTAAAGATTTTTCCAATACACCACTCCAATTTCTGTACGAAGCGAGGCAAATGATTAGCATTCGCTTTCCATGCTAAGTTGTAGGTTACGCAGTCATGATTAGCTTTGTTTTGCTTCCTATGAAGCACAATGATATAATGAAATATGTACGTATACAAATCCATCTAAGCATAAATAATGTTAAACAAATCTTTATTCTTGTTCAATGAAATTTATTTTCGGTGCGGTTTACCCACAGATATATATAACTACTAGATAACCGACTCCATATACAACAACATTATTGAATTATGATATGCCCAACGCCATTTGTCACTTGGGGCAATGTTTAAAAATTCTTATCATTTTTTACTAACTTTCTGTTAGTAGAGCTACTTTCCCATTAGTACCTATCGACTCTTACCATCCCACTCTTAATACTAAAATTCCCTCGCCCAAGTCACTAAAAATATGTGAATCCTTCTCGTACCGTAATTTTTAGAGTGCAAACTACTCTGACATCAATACGTTTTTTTGTCTTTATTAATTTGCAGGGTTGATACTTTTTCTCAGTACAATGCCAATGACTCTGCATCGGTTTTTAATGATGCCTTACTACATGTATAGTTATGTGTGTTCCTCTTAAAATCATTAAATGCTCTTCGTTTCCGCGTTGGATCTCTAACAAGCTCAAAGATGTAATTGTTGAAAAAAAAACAGGCACACATTACATTTAAAAGATCATCTCTTACCTGTGACTAAAATAAATTTTCAGAGTTAAGAGCTAAGTACAAACGCATTTCTAAACTTAACCATGCCCACATTAGTTATGTTGAAAACCAACTCTCTCACTCACATCTTGATTTTTGGAAATACTTCCATAATCTCAATCAGGACAACTCAATTCCTACCAGAGTCTATTAAGGCTTATCCAAGGCTTCTAACAACTTTGAAGCAGCTAGTCTTTTTTCTGAATATTTTATATCCATTTTGAAACCTCTTAATGCATCCAATGTTACTAACAACTCTTTTAGCCAACTTTACTCAATTCCATCTAACTGTAATTTATCTCCTGATGACGTTCTTATGGCTCTTCATAAATTAAAACCTGTTTCGTCCAACGGCCCTAATGGAATCTCAGCTCGGCTACTATTTCAATGTCTCTTCGCACTATTTTTACCATTATTTATTTTGCTCACAAAGTGTATGGATAAAATCACCTCCGTCACTCTAATCTTTAAATCGGGAGCTCCAACTTTTATAACCAATTATAGACATATTTCAATATAACCTCACATTGCTAACATTTTTGAATCCGTTGTCTTTAATCACGTAGGACCAAACTAAACCATATTCCTATTCTACAGCAGCATGGATTTCGTAAAATGATCACCACTAGTATTTTTAATAACCGTTCAGCGTTTAAATTCTAATAAATTAATAAAATATTCCAAAAAATACTCTTTTTATTTATTTATTAGTATATCTAAAAGCCAAACGACTATAAAAAAATACAATGGCTAAAATAATACTAACTTATTACGGAAATAGTGAAACAATGGCAAATATAACAGTTGTAACAATAAACTAATAATTTAAGTAAAATATATAAATACTATAGTAGTTGGCACTTGGCGGTCGCAGCTAACTTGAGTTCCGTAATAAACGGTAAATATAGAATAATTGAATGAATAATATAATATAAGGTCACACTATAGTAAGCATTTAAGGTGTAGACAGAGGTCATTCCAGATTCACCAATCTAAGCATTCTATATATTGTGGATGATTATGGCTATAGGAAGTTAAGTGAGATGGAATATAAAAAGGAGTTGGATTTCTGGTGTTGCGGGAAGAAACTTTAAAAGAAACATTAGAGAGAAGGTCAGTGGCATCTAATAAACTATATTGACGAGAGCGTAAATAAACCGATGGTCCCAATCGTTCCGGCTTGAAGTCAGGGAAGGTAAATTTGAAATACTGGAAATAAAGTGTAGTCGTGTTGTAGAGATGGAATATTAAGTTTGAAAGTGGCATAATATGATAACAATCTAGAACTGGAAAATCTTAACTCGTAATTGGTCCTTACCAAGGTAAGGATGCCAGATGACAGCACCATACTCTAATTTGAAACATAAATAATATATACCTACTATACCTATGTGACCATGTTTATCAAATATTTCTAAAAGCAGAATATATTTACCTTTTGAACATTTTGACACGTAATATGTACACATAGTAATATATAAATATTATATTACTTATGTGTTACTAACACTAGGTATATACAAGTTATATAGAAAAACTGTTTTAAAAAAATTCAAAATCTCAAAAGTTGACATAAAAATAGTTATTATTTGAAAAATAAATAGTTCTGTAAAAATATTTAGTCTATAGAAGTCTACTCTTCTTTGAAATAAAAAATTACAAAATCATGTTGTCACTAAAAAAGAAAAGAAATTCAAAAATATAAACAATAAAACATAGTAAAATTTTTTTTTTCTAAAAAATTGAAATTATGTCCCAAAAAATGTCTTTAAAAACGTTTATAGTTTTTGAAATACCGAGCGTCTTACGTTAAATGTATAACCCGATATATTATACAACTATATTGTATATTTTTATAATAATAGTGTTGTGACTTATGGGTAGGTAAAGTGCAAGAATAATATGTATTAATGTATTATCATATAGTAGTGTTGAACAGTGGTAATTTAACGTTGAAGAAGGGTGGTCGAAATTCAATTTCTTTCAAAATGCAAAATATATACATTATCAAAAGTTTATATTAGCGTTTTATTTATACAACTAACAATCACCTTGAATATTATATAGAAACTTACATAAATAATTTTTTTTCTTATTACATTTTCGTTAATATGGACTGATTGAACTGATACTAGCTGTCATCGTAAACATTTATTGTTATAATAGAAAAAAATTAAATGAATACAACAATATGGAAACAAAAACAATTGATATGTTTTCGTTAAATGCATAAGACCTACAGAGATGATCAGACTTCTCACACACGATTAGTTAAAAAATTAATTTCTTATACAGTAATAATAACAAATATACATAATTTAAAATATAAATATTTTGTAGATGTTACAGATCCTCAATTACCTACAAAATCTTTCGATATTGTAATAAAAATTAATCTTTTTAATGCATTTTAAGTAATTTACAGTCATAATAAAGCCATTGATGCCATTCAACATTGTGTCACTTTATTATAAAAACACGATAAAATATTAAAATAATGCAGATTTGGTTATTGTAATGCACGTTAAGGTTGAAAATTCCCAGACAGTTATGAGAACCGGATTGTTCCGAGAATATAAAATATTAAAATGTTTATTCTTCTGTCTTTTTTATTATATATTGGAGACTTTATAATTTTAACTTAAAATAATATTTTAAAAAATAATGTTATTATAATAGACTATAGAGCTACGGTATCGAAATAAACATTAGCCGGTAAATAAAGTAAATATAATAGTTTCAATATTAAAAATTTAATATTACTAATCTTCAACCAGATTTTCATGTTGTTTGGTAATCAGTTCTGAACAAAGTATGTGTTGAGTCTTTGGTCTTACGAAAATTTGGGAATCAAATTTATTTTTATGAAGGGATGTAACATGTAAGTCCTCTGTGTAATTTTATAACCACTGAATTACTATTATTCTGAGTTATATATATATATTATATACACAATGTGTAAGTCAAAAGTGACGTGAATGTTAATATGTACTTACGATTGACATGTAGGAACTAATTCATTTCGATTTTTTTCCCCATTTTAACTTATTATTATACACTACGTAGGTATATATGTTACATACATGATACATCTTTCATAATTTTATATTGGTGTTAAATAGAATTACTAAATATACCTATTGATATAATATAAGATCTCCAAAAAAAATGTATATTATTGTAAACTTTGTAGACTAAATACTGAATACTTGTATAGGTACTGTAAATACAAAAATACAACTAATACCTCCACCAAACAGAATTTTGATTTTAAAAGTTCAGCCTAAAGCCCTAAATCTATTGTTAGTAATTTATTTACATATTAAATTAAAGTATATATTATTTTAAATGATTAAATACCTATTTATATGTTTGCGCATCCTGCAAGAGCAGAGTGCATATTTTCACATCTAGCATATTATTAATCATGGTTGATTTGACATTATTCAATTTAAATTTTTTATCTACAATAATTGCACATTATAACATTCCAACGTAAATGCTTGTGAACTCACAATGCACGATTTTTTTTTTATTTTAATTGTTTTATTTTTATTAATTATTTTTGAATGATTAAAAGAAAATTAAAATTGAATTGGTTTTTCACTTATAATTTATTTAACTATGCGTAATGCATTTAATCATAAAATGAGAATACATAATTGAAATACGCAATTAATTAACTTCATAAT